GCAGTGGAAGAGATGACTTGTCAAGAGAATGAGAAAATAGCAACCTCACTTCGGTTTTCAATGGTGCTCCTTCAGAAACCCATCTTACAAAAAAAACTGAGGTAGAGATACAGGCAGAGAGAGGAAAATTTAGAAAGCAAGTTGAAAAGTTGCTTTGCTTTATTACAGATGTAAAAGACATGATTTTGGGAGGTGAAGCAGAGTGAGTTTCAGGCATTTTTGCTGTAGCAGAGCTGAGGACTGGGTTGGAGCTGGTTAATAACATTACTGAGCATTTGTGTTCTCCAGACACGGATGTCAGGAGTTTCCTGCCCAGCACAGGATGTTCACTGCTCTGTTATCTCAGACCTGTGGAGGTACCACATTACCTGGCTAAACTCAGCCCAGGCTGAGTGGGGAAACCACCCAGAGGAAGCTGCAGCAAGTTTTGAATCCTAGGAGGCAAGAAAAAAATGCTCCAGCTTCACTTGTAGCTACAGCTGCACTAGAGGGCATTTGGAACACATGAGAAAAAGACCCTGACCAAAATTGTGACAGCAATTTAAGGAAAAAAAAAACATTACCTAACTGGTTTTATTTTCAGCTTCAGTGTAGGCTGACCGAGTACACAGAGAACCAATGTGCACCAGAATAAAACCATCAACTTATTTAATTCCAACATTCATGTCATTAAATTCAGAGCTGGACTTGTTATCTTAAAAAACAAATTAAGTTCCTAAATACTGCACGTTGACCACAAATCCACTGCACAAAAGCACCCAAATAATCCCATTTTACATCCCCACATATGGATCGGTTTAGGATTTATTGTAAGCACAGTAATGCAATTTACTTGGTAAAATTCTGTCTATAGATACCTGTGGTCATGTTCTCATTCCCAAAATTCCCAAGCTAGCAGTACTTCAAAATTCAAGAATCCAAGGAGGGGAAGGAGTCATTGTAACAGGCAGGGACAAAGGTTTTTAAGAACCTCGTTAGTCATTGGTTTGTTGCTGATACACACTAAAAAAAAAGTCAGAGCCCTTTCATTTCATAAGCAAAATGTTCCCCAAATAAATGATGAAGTTATAGCAGGTAGTCTGCACCCCTTGGTCATTTTCTACTATTTATCCTGAACACTTCCATTAAAAAACAATTTCCACCAGACATATTTATGATCTTCAGTGTTAATTTCCCTCTTCTTTATATCAGCAATTAGTAACTCACTAGAACAAAAAAATAAAGATAAATATCTAACTACAAGCACTGAGAGCAGCACCTGCAAACAACTGCTGCACAAGGTCACAGCTGCATTATTTACTAATTCCATGTTCTGAGTACAGTTGCATCCAATCTTTCCTCTGCACAAGCCTTTAATATTCCCATTTCCACTGCAGCTCCTTTTCCTACCTGCGTAGATATCAATATAGAAAATTAACAGGTCAGAAGAGTGTGAAATCACTGTTTCAATTCTGAATGCTTTCCTTTCCCAAGATCCCAGAATGCTTCCAACAACAACAGAAACACCAAAGGGGCCTCGGGACAAACACAAGAGAGACACCAACACTGAACTCCCAAGAGAAGGCAGAAACAGGCTTGCTCTTTCACTGATCTAAAATGCAAATACTTCCATTTGACGTCAGCTAGGCCTTGATAATACCACTGGCACCACTTCTGTGCTCTACCCACATTACTGGAAATCGATATAAGAATCCAAATGCCCTCACCAGCATCCAGCAAGGTCAAACTCCAGAGCTCTCCAGCTCCAGACACACCATCTATGCTGTGTATCAGCTGCCATGAGCAAGCACTGAACAGGGATCACACCTGTATCCCAGCTGGATAAGACTCCTTGTCACTTTATGTTCTGTCCTACAGCCTTTGGGATGACAGAGATGCACAAACTACTGGAAAACAGGATCTGCTTTCCAAAAGCACCACTTCAAACAGTCAACACAACTGGTCAAATCTGCAGCTCAGTCCCTAAGTGACAAAGATGTATTCAAATGTATGTTGTTGCACCCTCCCTTCCCTGCCATTCTGTATTTTTACCTTCTCCAATCTCTCAAAGTACTCTCTGATGAATCCCATGGGTCTTTCAGGTCTCACTGTGCATAACTGTACAATGCAATCCTTCAGCAGTTGCTGGATGTTGTGTTTTTGGATGTAAAGTTCACATTCCCGGAGGCTCCGCTCCTCCTCGCTGCTGCTGCTGCTGGAAGCTGCCATTGCTGAAGGGAAGAGAAGGAGGTTAAATAATAACTACTGGAAACAAAGATACTGCTGCCTAAAACAAAGTTATGCTGCATTATCTTACTGATACCACAGCAAAAACCACCATTACCTACCAGAGCAGTAACTAAGCTAAAGAAAACACTGTGAACTTATTTAGCACCTGAAAAGAAACCAGAAATCAAAACTCTGGGGGCTCTACAGCCACAGACAGAAAAGAAAAAGCATTTGGTTGAACTGAAAAAGCTTCAACAGCTCAAGCCCTGTGAGCGCTCCAAGTCAGGGAAGATTCCACCTGAACCTCCTGCTGCTCAACTGAGGATTTTGTAGGACTGGAGGCTGCGTGGTCTGTGTGGGGTCATGAGGATGGATGATGGCCAGGAGAGAGGTGGGTGGAAGCTGGAAATGTGAGAGGCCAAGCATGACCAGTATTCGGAAGTGAAACATGTTCGGGTTGAAGCCAAAGCCAAAATGTCAAGGCAGAGTCTGCTAACGGAAGTTATGGATTACAGGCATCGCTCCTAAAAAGCTCCTGTGTAATTTAAACCTCTTCATACCTCATCACTTATTTCATGGATACACTGCAATCCCAAAAATACCTCTTCAACTGTAAATAATGAAGAGTACAGCTTTAAACATCTGTTATGATGCCAGGTTTTCAAAACACTTCAGCTATGCCACTTTCAAAAATGTTCCTAAGCAGATTTTTTCCCCCCTTTCAAATTTGTACTGGGTTTGCACTTCCAGATTTTGGTAGCAGGGGTTACAGGGGATTCTGTGGGAAGCTGCTGGCTGCTTCCTCCATACCCAAGAGCCAATGCCAGACAGCTCCAACATGAAACTGCCACTGGCCGAGGTGATAGTGGCAGAGCCTTTGGGACGATGTATTCAATGAGAGAGGAGAAATGGCTGCTTCAGCCAGACAGAGGAGTGGGAATATCTGGGAAAAACAGCCCTGCAGCCCCAGGGTCAGTGCAGGAGGTGCTCCAGGCCCTGGGGCATGGATTCCCTGGCAGCCTCACCCATGGTGAGGCAGATGTGCCCTGAAGCCCCTGGGGGTCCATAGGGGATGCAGAGATCCACCCGCAGCCCCTAGGGGTCCATAGGGGATGCAGAGATCCACCCACAGCCCCTGGGGGTCCATAGGGGAGGCAGAGATCCACCCACAGCCCCTGGAGGTCCATGGGGGAGGCACAGATCCACCCACAGCCCCTGGGGGTCCACAGGGGAGCAGAGATCCACCCGCAGCCCCTGGAAGTCCATGGGGAGCAGAGATCCACCCACAGCCCCTGGGGACCCATAGGGGATGCAGAGATCCACCTGCAGCCCCTGGAGATCCACCTACACTCTGGAGGATCCCACATCGGAGCAGGGGAATGCACAGAGTGTGACCCCATGAGAATCCTGTGCTGGAGTGGTTTCCTGGCAGGAGTTGTGACAGTGGCAGGGAAATCAGGCTGGAGAGAAGCCTGCAGGAAGGACTCACATTGGAAAAGTCCATGGAGGACTGTCTCCCATGGGGAAAGTGTGAGGAGTCCTGCCCTGAGCAGGATGGAGCAGCTGCAACAGCGTGTAACGAACTGACTGCAATCCCCATTCTCTGGGGTGAGGGGACGTAGAGAAAATCAGGAGTAAAGTTAATGCTGGAAAGAAGGGAGAGGGCCAGGAAGATGTTTGTAAGATTTGGCTTTATTTCTCATTATCCTACTCAAATTTAATTAGCTCAATTTATTACCAATTTCCCCAAGTAGAGTCTGTTTTGCCCATGATGGCAAGTGGTGAGTGATCTCTCCCTTATCTCAGTCCAGGAGCCTTTCCTTATATTTTCCTTCTGTTGTTGAGTTGAGGAGGGCAGTGATGGAGCAGTTTTGGTGGGTGCTTAGCATCTAGCCTGGCTTAGCCCACCACAAGGTTATAAAACCATTTTAAAACACATTTTTTTTACGTACACATGTATATAGACACACATTTAATGTCATTTTTTTCATAAGAAAAATAAACATTGTGAGAGTTAAAGGAACAGGAAAGACTTTCTCAGGGCATTTTTGGATGAAATATAAAGAAAGTTACCTGGTACAGGGAGTGTGGCAACAGCTTATTTATATGCAGTAAGATATGTTGATCCCGGGATCAGCTTTTGAAAGGGAAAAAAGGGATTCAGTCACAATAATTTTGAGAAATGACAAGTCACTGAAGTCACATCATGGGTTTTATCCTGCTGAGGCAGCAGCAGGAAAACCCAGAGCCCAGAGGCAACATAACAACGTGCCCCTCCGCTTTCTGCTGCTGGAGATTACAGAAGGCTTCGAGTTAATATGGAATTACCAACACTTTAACAAGGTTTCGTTCTTGTCACACTTAATCCCTGCTCAAGGACACACACACATCCACACGTGTATTGTGCGTTGCATAAACACAAAGCGTGGCCTTCCCACGGGCAGAGAAAGCGCCGAGAAGTTCTCCAGTTACTCCTTTTGTTTTGCCGGTCCTTACGGTGAAGGTCAGCGCTAATTAACCAGCGCCGGAGAACGCCGGCGGCTCCGTGACCGCCCGCAAATTACGGCCCGTGAGCGGACACGGGCACGGGCCACGGGAGAAGGGCAAGACCGGTGCAGGAAATGCGGTATCACGGGCAAAATGAAAACTCCGCTGTTTCTACATGCCGGTTTTTTCTGCACGTTCCCAAAGCGCTCCCGAGCTCCCCAAGGTGTGGCTGCCCCGCCCAGCCCAGCCCAGCCCTCACGCAGCGCGGGGCTGCGGCCGCTTCAGNCCTCGCTGCAGCGGCGGCACCGGAAACCGACCGGCCGGACGGGCCCCGCCCGCCGTGACGTCAATGCGCCTCGCTCTCGCCCGGGCCCGTCGCCGCGGTAACCTTAAAGGGGCAACGGTGGGCGCGGCGCGGGCGCGGGCGGGGGAGCAGCGCGGGAGGAGCCTGCGGCTTTAAGGCGCGCGGGGCTGGCGGGAACGGGCTGGGGGGATCCCCTGAGGGGAGCGGGAATGGCCGAGAGGAGCGGGATCCCCTGAGGGGAGCGGGAATGGCCGAGAGGAGCGGGATCCCCTGAGGGGAGCGGGAATGGCCGAGAGGAGCGGGATCCCCTGAGGGGAGCAGGACCCTCCGGGACATCAATTTCACATCAATTCGACTCGGCCGCGGGTTCTGGCGACCCCTGGCCTGGAAAGGACCCGGTTTAAAGATCACAGATTGTTACAGGGGGAGGAAAATAAACGCTATTTAAGTTTGGCAAAGATTTCACTATAATCGACGTAAATCTGCGTGGGAAATTATTTCATGCGTCTTTATAGCTGAGATGAGCCCTTTGACTCTCTTCACTTTGTCTACTCCAAGCTGTAGGAAATCATTTAAAGTAAGAAGTCACTGAATATCCGGGCTGTGCTGGCACGGGCAGAGCCCATCTCTGGGCTTGGGAAGGAAAAATTATCCCTAAAATGAACCCTGAATTACGCATTTGCTGATCTTGCAACACGCTTTTTACTGTAGTGTTACATCATTTCAGCCAACACTCACTTGTGCTTAACCCATGTGGGAGAATCACGTAATGTACAGTGAGAATTACTCACAATAGCAACAGTTTAATGTGTATTTTGATATAAGAAGATAGTAGTGTTTGTGCAGTGACACACAAGCCACCAGGAGCTACCTGCTATGGGGTTTCTTGTTTATTAGCTCTTATGTTAAAGAAATAAAGAGTAATAACTTGGGTGTAGATCTTGGACCTGCAATTCTGACAGACCCAGTACAGTCCCTGAGGTCACATTCCCCAAATTTTGATAACTTCTGTCTGATCCCAGATAATTAGAAATCAGGGTCCAGGATTGTCTGACATTAAGCTCAAAGCTGGTACTTTTGTGAAAAATATAAATGAGAGTAATTAATATTTGTGAAACACTGTCAGAGGGCAGCATCAAAATACCAAATTACTTGTTCACCTGGTTATAGAACAGTCCTGTAACTCAAAACTACTGGAAGTTTCTGAGCACCATGAAAAGCCGTCTGCACTCCCACCTACACATTTGTTTTTTGGCTTTTTACCTCCCCTTTTTTCTTTACAAGCTGCCTGCTAGTGTCACCTCTGATTCCTTGTTTGGACAAGTCCCGGTGATGTTTTGGGATAGATCCCGTCTGGAACAAAGCTCTGTGTGTAAAACCTGTTCTGCAACATCCTCTTTCGTAGGGAAACAAGTATTCCGTTGTACTTGATGCAATCCCTGCTGGAGTCCTGGAGCCAGGAGAGCCAGGAGGGGAACAGAACCAGCTCTCAGGAGAAGCCAGCCCAGGTGGACACACCTTCCCCCAGTGAGCTCTGGTGGATCTCTCAAATCACACTTCCATAATCCGATGCTGCTGCATCCCCACGTGTTAATTCTCACACCGCCGAAGACGTAAGGGAAGTTAAAAGCAAACAAAGCCCCCGTTCCATTCGGTCTGGTCTGAATTACAGTCAGATCCTGCTCTAAACCATCTAATTAAATGTTCCTGAGTAACTAACTTGCCTTACCGTCAGCGCTATTCCCACAACTTTCATTTCAAACAACTTTATGCATCGGTTTCTCATGGAGCAATCTGCTGCCCAGGGCTGTGGCTGCTGGAGAGCAGAGGAGAGCTCAGGGGAAACAGAGTGTGAGCCAAGGTGGGAAATAAGAGCACAGACGTCACCCACGCCTGCTGTGTGTGTGTGTGGAACAGAAAGAGCTGTTTGAAAGGTCAGTGACAGCCAAATTAACAGTGCCTGTTAATTTGCTGGGGTGCTGCACAGGAGCTGGAGTGCCATGGGCTTCTGCTGAAGGTCCCACCCCACTTAGGACCCCATGTTCTGTGAGGTGCAACACTCCAGGAGCAGCCTCTGGGGTTGAAACCAAATAAATCAAATGAGTGGCAGGTTGAAGCAGCCAATGGTTTTATCACAGTTTTAGGTGTTAAATCACGCATGCCCATCACCCTTGAGGAACAAATGGGGTTTCAGAGGGGCAGAGCACAACCTGGAATGCTCCTGATCAGAGTGACTGGAGCATGTGGGCTGTCTCGGGGTGGAGTGAATGGGGAAGGAAGTTTTAGTGGTACAGAAAGGTTCCATCCACAAACTGAAGCTGCCATCATCCCAAAGAGCCCTGAAATCTACATCAGAAAATCAGTGGAATTAAAACCTGTGAGCTCACTGTGGACCACGAGGTGCCAGTGGCAGAGCTCACACTGGATCCTTTGGGCATGGCTCCTTGTATTTTGTTTAAGCTTTAACTAGCACTGAAAATAACCCTCCCTTACTGCTGCACACCCTGGCTCACAGCACCACAGTGATTCATAGGAAGATCCATAGATTAGAAACCAAAACACACAAAAATATATTCTCTTGTAACAATGGATTTTTTGAGGATGTCTCGGTTCCAGGTCAAACTCTGGGTCTTGACAGCTTTCAGTGTGACACTTCAGAGGACCTGCATGCAGGGACAGGACGCTTGTCCCTCAGCAGTGCAGTGTTTGCCAGGGAGTCTGAGCCTCTGGATGAGCTTTACAGTGTCAAGTCTGTCATTTTTCCACATGAAAGGTGATAAAGAACCAGAGCAAGGAATTGATACGATCCAAAAAGAGCCCAAAAGACAGTGCTTGAACTTCCTGCTCTAACCTCAGCATGAGTCAGGGGCTCAGACCCCCTGTGGACCCTGAGAGGTGGCGTGTGGAGGCTTTGGTCTGGCTGACGTCAGCTGTGTGAAACAGTCCCCAGTGCAGAACCAGTTTGCTATGGGCAGATCCCAAACCATTTCCATATGTTACTTTGAAGAAGAAAATGACTGGTAAGACTCAAAACAGACGAAGCAAGTGCCAAGAGAAAAATGCCCTGAAGTGGCCAGATCTAAGAGATAGACCAGTCGGGGAATCCATCTCCATCTGCCAGACGTGCCTGCTGCAGCACAGCCCTTCAGATTCCCAGCATGGTTCCCAGCTGGAAAGCTCCCAACACCCAAGGGGCAGCACTGGGAACATTTTCCCTCCTGAGTCAGTGCTGACGAGCTCAGTGTGAGGGAGGCTGTGATTATCAGAGCTATGTCACACAGCTCTCCTGTGCTGGCTGAACCACAGGCTCCACAGCATTTTGAAAAAGCCAGGATACCCTGCTTAAATTCTGATATTGATTATGGTGCCCTTCCTGCCACCCAGCTGGGTTGAACTTGAACTCAGAGTTCTCTTTTCTAGCCTGGTTCTGTCCTAGATCAGTGATGAACCTCCACCTCAGCAGCAGGGCAAGAAATCTCTAAGCACCCTCCTGAGAGTATTTATTGGGAACTCTTTGCTCAGGTGTCTCTGCACTTCAAGGACTCTCCTCAGCTCCAGAGGAGGACAGGCACTAATGCAGTGGGAAACAGTTCCAGGACAGGGTTAGGCTGCCCCACAAGAACTGGGAGACAGAAAACAGCACCTGAAGTGGGGCAAAAAACCCCTAGAAAGCTCATGCCTCCAGAGAGAAGGAAGGAGATGGGAGAGCAGCAGGTCTGTGCCTCCTGCAGTTTGGATATGAACAGGCTTTGTTCTGCATCATTAACTTTATGCAACCTCTGGGCAGCCTCAGCAGTTCATGAACTGCCCAAGCATCTGCAAATGTGATTCTTGACTTTGAGATCTGACACAAACCAAATTAAAGAGCACTGAGATAGTGTGCAGCTACTGCCGACTTCTTTTCCGGGAATGCCTGTGAAATACTCCCAGTGTTTCTTTTGTAACAGAATGTAAATACCCCCATTGAAAAGAATCCTCAGTTCTTGTGCTTTTAACACAGTCTGGTGAGAGCTCCCTCTCCAAGTATCATCTGGGACACAGTTCTCCTGCAAGATAAATGCACGAATAAAAGCATTCAAAACATTTGAATTTGCTTATGTGCTTTTCTCTGAAAGCAGGTGGCAAAGTAAACACATTGGTCAGATCCACTCTCCTTGGTCTGGACTGACATCCAAACAATGTCTGGCCTGACATCTAACAAACTGGCTACAGAACCGAGCCATTTCTGAGGCAAGTTGCTGCCCTCCCTCCCCCCAAGATAATAGAGCATTTTCCCAGATGGAAGGAACCCACTTGAAAAACAAAAGGTCTTTGAAATGTCAGCTCAGGCTCGCTCTGCCCGCGCTGTGTGCCCAGAGGAAAATGATAGAGCCTTTTTTCATTCTCCAGCTGTAACACATCTGAAGCAGCAAGATGATTAAGAGATGCACCTCTAGATTCCGGCTCTCCTACTGATTTCCAGCCTCTCCTGTGGAAGTCATTTAGCCTCTCTCCATCTCCAGCACAATGAGGATAAAAGCACTTTCTGGGCTGAGCATGAATCCAAGCTCATGAGAGGTTTGCATGCTCCAGTAATGGGGATCAGTAATTGAACTATTTGAACAAGCTTCTAGACAGAACTGATCCAGTGGGGCTGGCAAAAGAAGTCAGGACATTGCATCCACAGGGATGGAGGCTCCCTTGGCTCTGTGGGCACTGCAGATGCTGCCCTGCACTCTCTGTTTGAACTCTGCTATTAATGCATTTATTACACAAACATTTTGTGCCACTTCTCCTCCAAACCCCTCCTTGTCTCCTCTATCACCTGGGGGACTAGAGAAAGTCCCCCAGGTGATAAATCTTCTGTGCTAAGACCTTGGGCAGTGAGCCTGCCTCTCCCAAGGTCCTCCCTCCCAGCTGCTCCCTGCTCTGGTCACACCAGGCTGTGTGGGAACCCGACGTTCCTCTGGCTGTCAGGACCTCTGTGTGTTCCCAGTCTCCCTCTCGTAATGCAACTTATTCTGATCTCTCACGTCAGAACATTTTTTGATCTTTAGATAATTACAGAGGAATTACAATTAGTGCTGTATCCAAGAGTTAAAGGGAAGGCAAAAGTTTCTCTCTCCCCCCTTCCAGTTTTAACCCCTTTGCTCTCTGTGGTACAGCTCTTAGGATTCTCAGCTGAAAACACTCCAAGACTTTAAAGAGTCCGGCGTGCACCCCAAAGAGCCAGGAGGATGAGCCACCCTTGTCACTTCTGTGAGCAGTGTCAGGCCCCCAGTGAGACAATCCATGACCAGGGCAAGTGTGATGTCCTAATGCTACTTAGGGAAATGGAGCATTTGCCAGAGCCAGGACAAGATAAGGAGCATAAATCCAACTTACAAGGAAATGCAACATCCAGTTGTGAGCTCTCCCCTGACCTCATCAAGTACGTCTGCAAGGGCTGCTCCCCAGCACAGCAGCAGGACCTTCCCTCCCTGGCAGGACCTGGGACAGGGTCAGCAGCTGAAACAGAAGAGGAACAAGTGCCAAGAGCAAAGCTCACAAAGCCTTGGTGACATCCAGACTGGCTGTGGACTCTGCCATGACTGCTCCTGTTCCTCCCTCACCCTGGCTGTTGCCAGTGCCAGCACAGGTCTCCATGAACCCTTCCCAATTTCTGTACCTTAAACAGAGGGCAATGACACTTCCCTGAGCACGTGGCACACATATCTCCCCTGTGTCCCACCTCCTCTCCCCATGCCATGTTAGAACCTGTCCAGACAATTTAGCAAGACAAGCCAATCTTGCTGGTGACTCTCACAAATGTGTTCTGCCCATTGTTTTTTACTTCCCCACATTTTTATATTTAATACAGGAATTGTGATATAAAAAAATGAAGGCTTTGAAGTGATGACTTCTGTGGTACCTGCACCTTATGATCAGGATTCTTCCAAACTCAGAATGGCCCCTGACAATTAATCCAGCTCTCTGCTTTCTTGACACTTCCATTGCATAAGAGGAAAAATCTCCCTACCTGCCCTGACAGAAACAAGTAACTCATCAAAGCATGAGAGTGCAGGTATAAATTCCGAATAAATTCCACTTTCCCTTCTCTAGCATTCCATTAGCAGCGCTGCTCGAGCCTCTGATGTCTTGTTCCTGCTGGTGGAGGAGCAGGTAACGTTGGATAATCCAAAGAGCAGGACTGAACGAGCCCTGTGTGATGTGATGTGATGTGATGTGTGATGATGTGTGATGTGTGATGTGATGCTCGGGGCACCAGATGGCAGCATTTATTGTCTCTCTGAATCCTAAACCAGCCAGCACTGACACTTCATGTGTTAAAGCTCCTAAAGGTCGGGGTGCAGCCCCTTCTTCCTCCTCCACCTGCTCCATACACTCGGGAAGGGTGACAAAAAAGAGCACAGCAATGTCTGTGCCACCTCTTCCCACTCCTTCCACAGGAAAAAGTGGTTTCCTTGCTCTGAGAAACACTTGTTCTCTTTATTACATGTTCACCTTTTGCCTGTTTTTACCCTGCAAGGCTGTGGTCCCTGAACAGGCTTCTGGTTATCAGGAAATACAGTGAAGGATATAAAGATATTTAGCTGATTTAGATCTGCCAAGACCTTTTTATTTTCCTGTAGCAGATTTAAAATACCAGACCTATCAGTGGGAGCAGGCTTTATCTGAGAGGGAAGAACTTAGCTGGAATTTAAACTCTGAGCTAGGGAAAAGCCTAAAAGCTCTCAAAAACTACCAAACCATTCCCACATGGAATGGGAGCACGCAGGATGCCGTGGCTGGGAGAGGCCCTTCTGGGCACTGCAATGGTTTCCCAGCTTCCTCACCTCTGTTTCCTCTTTCAGGCTTCAGTACAAACACCCAGGGTGGAGATCACAAACCAACATCCCTCACACCACGTTTTCTGCACTGGAAAACATTTCAGATCAAATGGTCGCACTCTGGACTGGGTTTGGAGTTAATGACTGAGTTGAGGTTGTTACTGTCAATAGTTACTTCAGTCACAGGATTGTCAGGAAAAGGAAGCCAATTCCTGATATATTCTTCCCAGCAAACACATGCATCAGCACAAGGACTGTCTTTCTGGTGGCTGGCAGGGCTCTCTGCTGGCCTTGCCAGACCATTTTCCCCAGGTGTGACATACACTCAGAGCCCAAGAAATATCTTGGGATTTAACTACTACCCTAATTACCACCTCCCCCCAAAGCTGTATTCCTGAAGAATCACTTCAGCTATTTCTTTATGTTTCAGACACCAGGGACACCTCATCTCTTCACCAGAAAGACTCACATTTTCCACACAGAGCACCCCAGCTTCAATTTCACACCCAGAACCCAACTGCTCCAACGTTCCAGAGCACAGATCCTGAGATTTCCAAGGGCTTTTCCAGCCCAAGGAGCAGCTTGCGCTGCCCTTACATCCATCCTGGTGACATGGCTGTTCCCAACCTGCTCCAAAGGCCACCAACACTTTCCACACTCCAACAGAGGACAAGAACTCCCTGTTTCTCCCACCTCTGCTGATCAAACACCCATTGCAGGCAGTGAGCTCAAAGGAGGATTGACCAACATGGTTGCATCAGTCAAGCTGCAAAAATAATTGTGTTACCCAAGTCTCGGGTGCTTTATCAAGGTTTCATTTTAAAACCATGGTGATTTCCCAAGCAGCAAACATCCAGCTGTTGTTGCTCAGAAACTGGTTGGGTTTTTTTTGAAACACAAGACGCTGTCTCCCTGGTTTTGTTTGTTGGAGGGCTTTGTTTTGTTTTTAAATTTTTTCCTGCTCCACAACCCCACTTCCTGTCTGACGTCCCTGTTTCAAAATCAAACTGTGCTGACCCACAGGGACAGCTTTAGAACATTCAAAAAAACAGCTTTTTTTATTTCATATTTGGGTTTTATTAGAACTTCCCACTAGGCCCCTTGGAAAAGAATACATTTTCCCCCCCAATAATGTCTTTAAATTCTCCTGCAGTGTCACTCATGTGTTTTGAGTCCCAGGAACAATCCACCATCCACCTCCCTCCAAAATGGTGTTTTGAAGATTTCTGTTTTCCTACTTCCTCCCCAAAATCAATCATCTTCACTGCTGCAGCCTTCAAACTCGCTCACAGGGGAATATTTCAGGCACTCCAAGGCGCCCATGCTGCAGAGGGGGATTAATCCAGGCAGATATATGTGTCCACATGGAATCTGCCTCACAGAGATGGTATTGCATGTGGCTCTTTTTCCAGAAGTCCTGCGGTGCACATCAAGTGATCTGGGGCCAATGACTTCAGCACTCACATGAGGATTACTCATCTAATTAGGGGGTTTGCAGGCTCTGCCCCGGCGTTTCTGTGCGCTGCTAATGTCATTGCACTGACTCCTGGAATATTTGTCATTTAGTGACTGGCTCGGAGGTTTGTTTTCCTTGTTTTCGGGGTAGATTTGCCCCCGCCACGGCAGCAGCGTGTTAAGCACAGGAACGATGCACAAACGCCGTTAGCTTTAGGATGTCAGTGCTGTAAAGAGGTGAAAACAACTCTCCAAAGCTCCGTTTAGCCGAGGATGTGGAGAGGGGACTGACTTGTTTTCCGCTCAGCGGTGTCACCACGGCGTCACCATCACTTTCCCCCGCCCAAGCCTTCCTTGGGGCCACCCCGGGCCTCTGCAGCAGCCCGCTGTCCCGTGTCCCCCGTTGTCCCGTGTCCCCCCGCTGTCCCGTGTCCCCCGCTGTCCCGTGTCCCCCCGCTATCCCGTGTCCCCCCGCTGTCCC